ATCGATAGTGAAAACGCGCTTCGCTCATTCTGGCCAGCGATTGGTTACCAAATTGCTCTTGGAAAGGTACGGCACCCCTGATTGCCCTGATCATCCTATTTATGTACATGTAGACTGTTGCACATGAATAAGTGTGGATTGTTGTACATTTAAAAAAAAAAAAAATAAGACCTACCCCGAAAATAAGACCTAGTGTGTTTTTTTGAGGCCAAAAAAAATATAAGACAGTGTCTTATTTTCGGGGAAACACGGTATTACAAGTGATCGCGGCGACATCGCCGCAATCACTTGTAAACGAACGGCCGGATTCCCCACTTGGCGCCCGGAACTACATGTTCCGGACGTCGGGGGACTCCACGGCGCTGCCGCCCCTCTGCTACGTGCCGCCCCGAGGCCGGGCCTCGGTGGCCTTGTGGGGAATCCGGGCCTGCTTACCTCCTTCACCTAAGCCCATTCTCCTGCTGTATGAATTCATCCAGCATATCATTAACTATCCTCATGTAATGGCAGCAGGTTTTACCTTTTGTTCTCTCCTAAGGCTTCAATAAACTGTCAGGTTTCAACCAGGTCACCGATTGTCATCTGAGTTACAGATTTGCTGATTTCATCTTGTACACTCTCCAGATCCATTCAAATGTAAAGCTTCCGGCACAAAAAAGGGTTCATTTCGCATATATCCTCCACAAACACCTTAGGGAGGATTTATCAAAACACTGGAGCAGACAGAAACTGGAGCAGTTGCCCGTGGCAACCAATAAGCATCTATCTTCAGTTTGTTCAGTTATGCTTTTAAAATGAAACATTGAAGCTGATTGGTTGCCATGCACAGCTGCTCCAGTTTCTGTCTGCTCCAGTTTTGATAAGGATAAAATAAATACAAATTGGGGAAAAAATTTGAAATTTGTAACAAAATAACATTAAAAATGTAGTTAAAAATGGAAAGAAATTGATAAAAAGTAAAAAATAATAACATAAAAACGTAAAAAAATAATAAAATAAAAACGTAAAAAAATTATAAAATATAATAAAAATGATTAATAATAACAATAATTAATCTACACAGCCCAACCGGTATGGGGTCCCATGATTTCAACTAGTGGCCCTGACTCCTGGGGCTACACACATGCACTACCCCGGTAACTGCCAAGGTGCCAACATTTTTTTATGGGGGGTAGAGTGGGGGGCGCTTCTGGGTCACATGAAAAGTATTATTTCAATGACCTGTCCTGAGGGTGATTTTAGAAGGGCACTTAGGGGGATATTCAGAAACTGACAAGGGTGTCCTTTATCAAATGTGACAATTGCTCTGCGTTCTTCTTCATGAGGACTAGAATCTGACCCGACTTTTTTTTTTCCCAAACTTTATTTTAGGTTTTCAGTTATGAGAATTACACACAAGGGAAGCAAAAACAATACAAATACGTTGCATTACATTACAGGAAAAGGGAGCAGCGTGGGAAGGTTATTTGTCAATAAAGCATTAACGTACTTTACCTGTATACAGTGGGAAAGATGAGCGGGCAGTATGTGAGCAGCGTCTCTGCCTGGCCACTGCTCGGATCAAGGGTTTGGTAAGTATTTTGGGGGGGACCCTACGCTGATTTTTTTTTCACGTTTAACAATGTGCATAGACAGTGCATTACCATGCCTTACAGTAACATAGGGTAAAACATATAGATAAAAATGCAGTGGATGGGGGACCCCCCCCCCCCCCCG